TCAGTGAATCACCTGCTTTAATTAAGTGATTATCTCATAATCTCATAATAATCTCTTGTGATTTGACACAGAAGGAAAGGCTGCCATTTCTGACAGAACCACACACAGTAATGTGTGAAATAAAATTTCCCTTTCCACCCGGAATGGTGTTTCAGATGTATATGGCCACACAGTAATGTAAGAGGCAATTTTCTATCCACTTAATACATTTCCATTGAACCAAACCCTAAATGCTGCAACCCAAAAATATAATAAAGAAGCAACCAGTCAGCATGTACCGTGATTCGTTCAGTGACAGCTGTATGTCACTCAGAAACAAAAGAAAGCAATAAAAATAAGGTATGTCATTGAAAATCCTTTAAACATAATGACTGGAGACAAAATATATTTACATTGAAACTTAAGTAAATTATTAAATGAATTCGTGTTTGTAGAACAGCAGACTCTGAGATAAAACTGCTAAAAGACATGTGGACTACACTCTTTTTAGCTACAAACTTATTTTGGTCTAGAATCTGTGACGTTTGTTAGCAATTAATGTTTGAAAACCACATTTCCTCAAGGTGTGGTGAAGCCTGCGTTTTCCACTTAAACACCAATCAAGGCAAGATCATGGTTAAACTTGTTCTCTGCGGTCTACACCCACCTACACATATGGAGATGGAATTAAACATCCACCCAGCACGACCTAGTTGTAGTGGATGTAGATTCCAAGGAAAATTTGTACGACCTGGGACATCCATAGTCTAGCAAAAACGTGATACAAAATACCCCCAAACCAACACTGTTTTGATTCCTGAGATACTTCTCATGATCTAACATCACGTTAGAGCAGTGGTTCTACTGCACTGATAAAATACAAGGTTAGAGGCTGGCTTTATGTAGTGTATTTGGAGGAACAAGTTTATAAAATCTTAGTTCACCCTGTGGGGTTTTTACAAGACATTTATGTAAACATTACAGAAAAAGAATAAAAAAAAAAAGAGCGTATGCTGCCATGAAAAACAGTATTTCACCCTTCTAAAAAAAATAAAAAAAATATTTTGTGTGATTATCCACCAATTAAAAAAATACACTTATTTAACAAAGTTGTGCATCTCTAACATCTGTCGTAATCCACAATCATAAAACATACAGGAAGGACGGATGATACAATCAAACCGGTTTCCATATCACAGTGCTCTTTTAGCATTGAAACCAAATCCAGTTTAAGACAAAAATACTGGTTCTTAAAACGTCACTAGGCTGCACTGCTGCTTGATCTCATCAAGTACGTGGTTTTAACTTTTATTAACCATAGCAGACTCCCTGCTCCCTTAGAGACAAACGTCATTATGGGGGACATAAATGATGCCTCAAAGCAGGATGTCCCACCACTGCATGTTCTTCTGTAACGTGTATATACACAAAACACAAATAAAATCTAGGCAATATCACCTGCAAATAATTATCCAAGAAAGGTAGTATTTCTGCAAATACTACCACGCAAAACTAAATGGATTTTAGGTAGAAAAGAAAACAACAACAAAAAAAATCAGGCTCAAGAACAAAATCAGAAACACAGACCCTACGCAGCACGGGGTCATTTCTTGCGCTGCGAAGTTCCGCATGGGTTTTCTCCTTTGTGCTGAAAAGATGTTTTGAACTTCCCCGTGTGGACAAAAGCAGGTGTGTGGAGCCTCAGAAAAATAAAAGTGATCCTCCTACCAAGTTTATTACTTTCTTTAGGCAAACTAAGTAGCTCTGTACGCAGCCATACACAACTTGCCATAAAATATAATAGTCTGACCCTGAACCAGAAGAAAGCTCAGAGAGCTTTTAAGAAATGTTTAAAATATGTTGTCAATGATATTTCAGTTCAAAGTCCTGTTGTTACATAAACATTCCCAAATTAGAAAAATATCTTGTGCTACTGGAAAAAAATAATCGTCTGCGTTTAGTTCCCTGCAATGCTTGCTGCAGCACAGACTGCTCAAAACAGGTAAGGAATTGGTAAAGCAAATCACAAAATGGATTTAGCACCCCTCTGCCCTTCCCAAAACCCAAGACAACATGAGTCTGAAACTGCAGAAAAATTTCAGGGGCCAAACCTGGAAACTGTGCAGAACTATGTTTCCAGCTACTTTCTGCTTTCAATTCTAAAAAAAATAAGAGTAGGAGCAACACAGTGTGAAGCAGAATTAAGCTGGGATTAATGCTGTTCTCCCTCAGCGAAGAATGCAGCGTTGTTAAAAAGGTAGTGAGATAGCCTGTATTAAAAAAATGCCCATTTTCTCACGTGAGAAAATTAAAGTGGGCCTTTAGCAAAATAAAAATAATGAGACAAGATAATTACCACAGCTACCTGCAAATCAACTGGAAGTGTTCAAACACATTTAAAAAAGACCTTATCGATTTGAGCCTATAAAAAAGAAAAAAAGGCATCTGTAGGAAACATAGATGAAAAAATAAAACTTCTTCAAATATAAAAAGTGTTCTCCTTTCCGATAAGTTCAAGTAACGTAACATACAGCAATTACATCTGACAAATACCAGATGCTCAGTTTCAGCTAGCTAAAAGCCCCAAAATATACACATAACCCTACTGCGGCGCAACAGCCTATGTACAGCCTTCCAGGACGGGGGCTGCTTGGAAACCTCTCGGTCACGTGGAAATCCTTTTACAAGACAGCACCCTTTTCAGTATTATCACAGAAAAGGAAGCTTTAAAATTAACTTAGGAAGTAAAAAAATACTCAGATTTTTTACATACATTGGAATTACTGAAGAAGTAAAAAGAAATCAATGAAAAGAAAACATAAAATAAAAATGTTCATGCAAGATACCTGACCAGCAGTTCATCTGATTGAATGGAAAACAGTATGTGGGGTCTGTTCCCCCGTTGGTTTGTGGACACCGACCTGCGTGCCGGGGCGAGGCCCTTGGCTTCACTTGCTGCCCTGGGAGACTCGTGGCCCGGAGAGCAGCGGGTGCCTCGGGAAGCCCAAGCGCTCGGTTCCGAGCCATGTCGCTGGTTCCCTGTGCTGGCCCAGCTACGGCGCGCTGAGGACCCGACCTCGGCGTGCGGCCAACACCACGGAGCAAATCCAGACACGCTCCACTGGCACGGGACATCTGGAACGGGAGCAGCACACCTTGAGCTACGCACAGGTGGGACCGCTCATTCCAAAAGTGCCTTCACTCCGTCAGGACAGGCACCCACTGCCTGCAGAGCGGAGGACGCACCGGCTGAGAGAAGGGGCAGTTATTGCCTCCCGAGGGATGAGCAGAAAAGGAGGCGTGAAGACTGTGGTTTGCCCGTGGGCTTTGACTGCTCCGTCCCCATCCTCACACGGGACAGACGCAGCACCCCGAACCCCACCAAGGGCTCTCCAGCTGCAGGGTGTATTACAGTTCGCAGGCTGCCTTCAGGAGATGGTTCTGTGTTAAGCCACAGAATTTCTGCTGTCCTCCTTCCTGCTGCCCTCTCCTATCCCAGGTGTTTACTGTCAGCCTTCATCCCTGTGTTTACTTACAAATCCTTCTTGCACCAAGTACCTTCTTCCCTTCAGACCTGTAACTGATTAACGAGTCAGGTGGGAATGCTTTTCCTCTGAAGGCTTGGCCCGTGCTCCCCACCTGCCTGGGTTACCTCTGTCATTTCTTGCACTCATCTTGCTCCTCCGCTTTAGGTGCAAGAGCTAGGAACTCTATTCAGAACAAATGCCAATATACTTCTCTTTTTTTTTTTTTTAAAGACTCCCACCAGTCATTCCTTTCTGTTTTTAAGCAAAATCCAGAATTCAGCCAGATTCATGTTTCACAGCAGCTTCTCTGGAATCCAGGATTTCCAATTTGGGAACACTTCTACAGGTCAGTACAGGTCAAGCACAAAGTGACGAAAACCACTTTCCTGCCTGATGTGGGTGAGAATGACCAGCTTCCTAATGACGAGGCAAGAACCCTCAGTACTGCTTTTGTGCTATGGCTTTAATCTGAGGTTGTGATTTATAGCTGCCCATGCTCTCTCAACAGCACCTCCACTTTCTATTGCAGTGCAGCAAATTCTGTAGGACTAATCCAGGATCATCTGTTTCCTAATAAATCGGAGTGAAACTTTGACCAACCCTTCTCTCTCCTTTTCAAAACCAGCCTCTGTGTGACTGATTTTCTCCATCTTTCCTTTTGTTCAACCCTTTGAGCTCTATATGATTTATGTGTTGCTCTGTTTTGTTCTTCACTGACTAAGTCTGGTCCTGTAGGATTTGCTGAATGCCTGCAAATGCACGCTGTCGTGCTCTCCCTAGTACAACTTTCCAAGAAGCGTTTTGCATTTTTTCCAAATTTCTCTTGAACTCAAATGATTTTTTGCAATCAGCTATTTGGCCTATGAGTTTTGCACCCTGCTGCTTCCATGTTCTTCTCAAGCTCATTTTGGCAGGAGGAAAACTGTGCCACCGGTGAGAGCAGAGGCTTGTGAAGTTCCCCCTTTGACTGTCTCTCTGTGTACCCACCACCCTCTGCTCTAAAGCAATGGGTCTTCTTTGCTGTACGCAGACATAACGGAGAGTAGCTTGATTACAGGCAATGATGTTAAACTTACTAAGCCCACATAATGGTTAGAAGGTGTGCTAGTTCTCAGTTGGCAACATGAACACCAGTCCCTAGCAGTTTAATATCTGGAGTATACGTAACCATGACTAAATGAATGTACAAGCCCTCAGTTGGGAAAACATTCAGGCAGGAGAGATGCTTCTCAGGGCTACACCTGGTGAATTCCCAGTCAGTCAGAAGCTAAACATTGGATGGGATTAGAGAGATCATAAACACATCTTCATTTCCTTCTTCGGTATCTTGGGAGTGACTGAAATGGTGGGTCGCGGTCGTAGAGCACAACACGGATCTGGTTCAGAAGGTGTGCCGGAGTCTCCTCAAGGGATGTGAATATTTAGTCTTAACAGAGTTCCAAGTGCTCCAGCTCAGGTCCTGCATTCGCCATGAACAGGTACGTTTTAAAAATTCAGAAATGCATTTTCTCCATTTAAACTTCACCCCCAGCAAGAAAAATAAAGCCAGCTTACGTACTGAGGCATACATACTGTCTTAAGTTATATTAAAATACTTCTTGTTTGAAGAAAGAAGCTTATGAAAATTATTTGGGCCTATTTTCTCCTCTAAGCATAATAAATATGAGAAACGTAACACATGGAATGCACCCTGGAAAATATATGTCATCATTTCATAATTATGACACTGCAAATAACATAGAAAAAGGCTCAATTCCGTGCCTTATAAATTATCTATATACCATGCAGTGTCGAGGAAAAATAAAAAAATGCACCAAATATTTCAAAGGTTAAATTAACTTGTTGAGAGGAGTGAAAAGTGACTGTGAACCCAAGTGTCTAGGGGAGAGGGTTTTTTATTTCCCGCTGGCGTGTGACCGAGTCTGTGCTATGTGGTAATAGCAATCTGTCGGACTGCATCTCCCATCGGGTCCAGGTGGCCCCTGTGGTCCGGGTGATCCTGGTGTTCCCGGTGGGCCTGGCAGGCCAGTAGCTGGCAAAAACAAATTTAGAGTTAGTAGAGTCCTCAGCTGAGCCCGCGCAGTGCCCCGTGTCTCACTGCTGATGGGCAGCTCCATACCAGCTCACCCACAGGAAAGCAGGTGGGTCTGACCCCGTGCTACAACCAGGCTCGGGAGGAAAGGCACGGGTGTAAAACTGGCGTGAAAACCAGGAGAAAGGCCTTTTAGTTCATAAATAACAGTAGCAGAAAAAAATCTGGAGACTTGTACCTGCAGGGCCAGGTGGTCCAGGGTTACCAGGCAGTCCGATTCCAGGCTCACCTCTTTCCCCTTTCTGTCCTCTATAACCTACATGGAATAAAAATAGGAAAATAAAAGCGTCCTCTTATTATAAACAGTGATCTTCCACACATCTTGCTGACAGGAACTTATCAAGACACACACTCACTTCATTTTCTGAGACTGGTATTTTTTTTGTGACACAGCTTTTATATTTCTAAGTTCCTTCTGGAAAAGTAACCATTGCATCCTCTGCCAGAGGACTCTCGCTATGTTCACTAGTCGGATCTTTCCCCAAAAAGTTCCTCTAATAAAGAACAAAACTCATATTCTGCTCCAGTGTTACCTGTTTGATGAAGTGAAGGATTGAAGCTAGAGATGGAGATGGATCAGTTCAGATTGGACGTTAGGAAGTTCTTCACCATGAGGGTGGTGAGACACTGGCACAGGTTGCCCAGAGAGCTGATGGAAGCCCCATCCCTGGAAGTTTTTAAGGCCAGGCTGGATGGGGCTCTGAGCAGACTGATCTAGTGGGGAATATCCCTGCCCATCATGGGGCGGTTGGAACTAGATAGTTTTAAGGTCCCTTCTGACCCTGACAATTCTATGATTCCATGTGAAGCACCAACCCAAGGGCCATCCGGAGCCTGAGCAGCCCTTCTCTGATAGCCCAGAAACAACAAGACATTGTAGGATTTTCTGCTCTACATAAATCCTTACGTGTCCACTTTTTAGACTGTAAACTGGTATCTGTATGCCTAGATATTCCCCTGAATGCACGAGAAACCTGACTCCCCTGCTCCAGAGAGACACAGTTGCCCTCACATGGAATGAGGCATCTGTAGAACTTGAGGAGGTTTTGGGTCCTAGTGTGCAAGGCATTCTTTGACCCAAGTGGCTGCATATTGTTAATGGGGTGTGGTTATACTTTGAACATTCATGCCTGTTTTCTAATATAAACTATATAAGTTATAGCTTTGTATTTATCTAAACAGCTTCCATCTTCTCAGGTGCTGCTATCCCTGTTTATTTTTCCTTAAACTGTTTGTAAAAAGTTTTATTAGTTGGAAACACTCTGGCTGCTTTATAGCAGAGTACTCGTAGCTATCGATATGACATTTTGCTTAATATTTCAAGTTAAAAATTCACCTACAAATGGAACTTTTCTGTTTAGACCATGTAATTTATGTAGGACAGAGCATGAAGACATTTTTAAAGGAAAAAGCGTGACACCCATTACAACCTCTTACTTTAAAATGGATTATCTCCAACACCTCAAACTCTGGCATGTAAGTGGACACATGCTGAAGATTAATTTGCCAAGTTCTGGTCACATTTGAAACTAAAATTGTTCTGCTTCAGGAACCAGTATATTTCCACGTATGTGCCATACAATAAACTTCCTCTTGTGAAGAGATGTAACTTAGTTTGAATGAAGTGAGAAATGTCACAGCTGGCCAGTCAGCACAGGGGCATCAATCCACCTGATGTGTCCTGAAGGTTAATGGGCACTGGCAGATGGATGGCAAAGGTTGTCTTGCCACTATCCCGCAGACTATGGCAGCACTGGCACTTTATGGGAGAATTCAGAAGGAAACTATTGTAAACGCTGTGGGTACCAGTTCAGGGTTGTTACGACAGGCACAGTGCAGTACGGATGGTACACAGAGTATTCAAGCTTTCCATTAAACACAAGCTCATTATACGCTTTGCAGAAAGTCCATTATCTGTTGCAGTCATTCTAGGTTTCAAAACAGAGCATCAATTACCTGACTCTTCTCTCATCACCCCAAGGAAATTACAGTGAGGCAAAACCAGTAGAAAACGCATGCAGCGTGTCATGCATAACGTAACAAAAGGCAATCAAGGTTTGAAAAGCTCACGGAGAAACAAACTTAGTATTAATCATGCATTCTGGTCACTGAGCTGTGTTAAGCAGAACTGTGCAAGGCATACATGCACACAAGCTATAAAGACTCAGAAGAGGGAATATGCAGGTGTTTGTATTCAGTTGTGAATCTTGAATTTGTTCTTTAATAACCATAGTAGTATTTATAACTACATCAAGTAGGTTTACTCTGAAAATCTTATGTAACACATAGTAGTTGCTATTTCTGAGAAGCTCAAGCATACAATCACAGCATCTATTACATTTCCTATTTATTTTATATATATGTTTCTTAATTTACAATAGATAGTTACAGTACATTTCTCACTACAAACCCAGTTAATTGCAATTTTACAAAGCGGTGCTGACACTAATCATTTGTTTTGCATTTCTTTAGTTATGGGGAAAAGAGAGAAATCTTATATCTTATGATATATCACATTTATAATCTCCATGATAACCACGATACTGCATGTATCTGAGACATCGTAACTGAAAAGGGACTAAGACAGACTGAAAGATTCTGTAAACATAACTTGAATTCAAGACAAGGAGGCAAAAAAAAAGTAAACCCACAATAGGACAAAGAGCAGCCTGCCAATGCAAATATATGATCCAGGGTAGTGTAAACCAATACTGGCTGTATCTGAATATACATGCAAAGGTGTAGTTTACGCACAGCAGCAGGTAAGTTCTGTTTTGACACTGAACTTTAATACAAAAAATCCCAGATATCTTTTCTAGAAATAAGGCTTAATTTAACAGAGCGTCAGCATATTAGTAAACAGGCCTATATGTAAACACTACAAACAATGTAACGTATGATTCTAGAAGGATAATGTTTGATTTTTAATGAGGTATATTTTGCTCAGAAGTAGGGCCATGATTACACTTCTAGAGGTTAATATCACTTGCTCTCTGAGCTTAAAGTGACAAACTCGTACGGTCAAAGGAAAATATTACCATACACATCAATCCGATTTTGACTTATTGGTTTTAACTTAATGGTACATACAAGATGCTGTTTATTTTTACTGGTAGAATTACAATTCCAGTAAGAAGTACCTGCTTAATTCAAAAGGCGACTGCTTTAGCAGAGCCTTTCACTTGGGTTCAGAAGTTTTGTTGTGATTTCTGCAACCCAGAAGTCGTAGTATGTAAACATGTACCCAGTGTGGGTAGTACCGTAAACACTTGGTAGCAGTATGTAGAGCAAGTACATGTTCAAGTGGATGAGCTTTCTCCTGCTCACAGGGGAGTGGTGAGAGCTAAAATACAGCTCTCGTTTTGCACTCTCCACAAACACGACGGTCAGAAGCATCGCTATCGCAATGCCCTCAGCTCTACTTGGAAAGGACATGAATTCATGTCTATCAACTTGGAGGTAAAAAGTTCTCTCATTTGAACTTGCTTGAAAAAGTATTCCACCTATATCATGGAGACCCTCTTCCATACACATGGATAAGGCAGCACCTAAATCTAGCGTGTCAAGTATCTAGAGAAATCTGAGGCTCTTTAACACAAATGTGATGCAAACACATTACCATGACACGGAAAAATGAGACCGAAGTATCCACCGTGTTTTGAAGTGCAAATACTTGTTCTTACAAACAACTGCAAAGCAACAGGAAAGGTGCTGAGAGTAAGCCCTCTTATCCAGCCTGCAGTGCATGTTCTGAATTCCTTCTGTGTGTTACAGCCCTCTTAGCTTCACTAGTAACACCACCTCACAGTATCAGTTTGCTGCATATATGCATATACCATATTTATTTTCAGTGAAGAAATGTGTATATATATAAATCTTGCAATCACTACTATATAAAGTCTGTTTAAATACCAATTGCATATTTCATAAATAAGTTGCAATCCTTCGTTGGCTTTTGTTTGCATGCTGTATTTTCATCAAGACCATCCTACAAAAGGAAAATTATTTGTACTTGAAGTACTGGGAAACACCTGAGGTACACTATGAATAGCCTTGCTTGAAGGTAACAAATCTGGACTTCATTAGAAATGAATGACTCTGTGCCCAAGAGCCGAGCAATTCCTTAAATATACTTTATGAAGACCAAGCCTACACCTCCAAAAGTTAGTATCTATGTTTTCTGTTTCTGGGGCTAACCTCTACTCATTTGGTTTGCTATGCAGAAGGAGGCTCTGGTGGAATCCAACCAGGTCGTACCAGCCTAGTTCCCAGGGGAATTGACACCGCACTTGAGGTGTACAGAGGGACCCCTGCGAAGTTGCAAGTTAGGTTAAGCAGCTCCTTGGACCCACGGTGACAGCTGCCTTTCCCACTGCTGGGCTCTAGCAGGTTCTCCACTTAGCATCACAGATAGGCTCTGGAGGTGTTCGCTGAGATCCTTTTAATTGCTCTCCAAAAGTACCTACTGTTTTTTATCGGCTGCAGGGGCCAAGTGATTGATTCACTCTGCCAACCCAGGTGTGGGTTACTGCACACAGCAAAACCATGGAGCTGGCAAGCTGGGCTACGCCCAAGCGAGAAATATAATAAGGAATATCTGTCAGTCAACACCAAATGCATATTATGTCCTGGGCGTATGTGCGCACAGTGTGCTGCTTTGATGGTCTCAGCCACACAGGCATGTAACACGCCTCTCCAAAAAGTCTTGTCTCCTTTGTCTTTTATGGTTGAAAATAAGCTGGAATATGGAAGGATGCTTTTCAATCTGCCCAGAGATTTGAATTTATATCACAAAACAATAACATGCACAGGATGACCAGGAAAGGCACGAAGGGTATTTGTGTATTTGTAATTGTGCTTCTCTCACAGGATTATCTCTTACTCAGAACATAAAAAGGAGGCAAGACAAATTTTTGGTTTTCTTTCTCTGGAAGTATAATTTTGTACAGCTTTTGATGTATCTAAGATGTAAATGCTTCTCACTTAGCTTACCTTTTACTAGTCAAAAAAGAGTATTGAGCATATCAGTAAAATAAATGGAAATCCTGTGTACATGGGGCACTACTTTTACTTAAGCATAAGGCATGAAAAAGCAGCTTTATTTTTTTTTTCAAGCACAGCTATCATCTTTACTCTTGATGCTCACTAGCTGGAAATGAAGCCTAGTACAACGTTCCACTTCCCAAAAGCATCTGAGACTATCCACCACATACATCACCATTGAACAATCTGGCACTGACATTGCAGTTGACTGTTTACAGTGATCTGAATATTTAGGTAATGATGAAGTCAGTGTTGTAAGACTCTAAGCCTTTTATTGTTTTCCTTGATCCTTTATTCTTGTTCTTCTCATTCTGAGCTCATCACATTTTTCAAGCTTCTGTCAGGGGTTTGCGCTTATCAATGTTAGTAAGTCTTTATTCTTCTGACAGCTTTAAGATCCACACATCTTCAGCTCTGCTCTCATGTTCTTCATTCCAGTCTGACTTGCTCTGACTCCAGAGCAGACCAAACTAACAAAAGATAATAAAGAACTACCTACAGATAAACTGCAAATTATATATCACCCACCCACAAAATATTATTCATTGATAAATTCTTTTTTTTTTCCATTTACCCGGTGATCCTCTTCCTTTTAATCTCTGAGAGGCTGGCTCTATAGGAAAGCACAGCTACAACGAGCCTTGATCCCTTGAAGCTAATTTTGCAGTGAAAGACAGTTCAGTGAAATGAGAGTCCTATACTGTCCAAATGGATTGCAATGTACAAATTACCATTTAGGGTACAGTGAAAAGCCGATTTGTGAAAAGAGATTACTTCACTGTAAGAAGAATTCATGTGGTAATATTTCAGTTTTCACTGCTTCTTAAAGAATACTATTTGCCTTCAGTTTCTCCTCCCCTGTGTTGTCTCAGGATCAGAACTGAGACTTGGAGATCAAATTTTGTTTCTTTATTAAGATGGTCTCTCAATATGGAACTTAATCTAAATAGTAACATTAGAGTGCTGGCATAAGTTTTCTTCCTTTTAAAAGTATTTTAGAGAAAAAAAGAAACTGCTACAGTAATCTAGGTATCTGTCAGATTTAGATATCTGTCAGTAATTATCTTTATTACTTATTAGAATAAAATGCACTGATTAGCATTTTTTAATCAGTAAAATGCACACATTTACTACAGGTTAATATCTAGATCTAGTCTGGAAAAACATAAGTATAGTTTTAAAAGTTAATCATTAGGAAGCTAGATAGGTAATCTTGGCTTATTTCATAATCATTAGCAAGTGTATAAAGATTTCAAGATACAATTCATGGGAATATTTTTTTTGAATTCCTACCTTGAATTCCACGTTCTCCTGGTGGCCCTGGCAAACCATCCTTTCCTGGGGGTCCTGGTAACCCATCTTTTCCTGGGGGCCCTGGTTTTCCATGAGCTTGGGAGGCAAGCATTGCAGCAGGCAGCTTCAGCTGGGATACAAACTGAGCCATCCTTTCTTCATTAGCAGAGGACACAAGAAAAAAGCAGATAAGAAATCTGTTAGCAAAATACAGGAAAATAAATGAATCCCAAAGCCCCAGCTAAAGTAAGTTTCTAGAAGTAAGGTGTTTAATCCTTCTAAATGTCAAGGTTTAAATACTCCTGTAATACTGAAGCCTTGAGTTCCAATTTGGACTCATGGTTGAGTCTTTACCCTTTGAAATAATCCGGACAAATTTGTACTGAAGTTTCTATTACTACTCTACTACTCTCTTTTACTAATTTACTCCAACATTTCAAATAACTTCTGACTCCTGTTCATAGAAGTACTTAAAATGCAGGAAGAAAGAATAATGAGTACTTAACACTAGATATAAGGAAGAAATTTTCCAGCCCAACACATTCTATGAATACCTCTATGAAGGGCTACCTTGTACATTTGTAGCTCATAGTGAGTTGCAAAGTAGAGCTTAAATGCTGTGAACAGTTCTTGGAATATGCTGAAACCCTGAAAACAGTTGTGAAAAGAACTGTAGGGTGCTCAGCAAACCGTATTAATTGCAGAGACTTCAGCATGAACTTTTCATGCTGGTGGAATAAAGTGCACTCGATAACATTTCAGTGTTCCTTAGAGGTAGACTAAATAGGTAGTAATCTTGAATCTGCCACATTTATACAAGGTTAAAAAACTTAACTAAGCACTCCACAATTTAGCAGGTACTTATTGTGGTGAAGTTTTTAAGATTTAAGAAAAATATCAGAGTAAAAGAAAAGCTGGCATCAAAAAAAAATAACCTTGCGATACAAAACAGGCAAAGTGAAACAAACCCAAAAATAAAAGATCTGTGATCTATTTAGAAAAGATCTACCTTACTGTGTAGTAAGGTGTAGAAAATTGAATAATTATAAAGACAAAATCTAATATTCCCTATACGCAGGACACCTTTTAATATCGTCTTTTTATGAATAGACTGAATCCTTCCCATTTGAATGGGAAAAGGAGGTAACTTCAGTCAACAAACTACTCTTAAAATACGCAGCAGGTTGAATTCCTAGGGGGTAGCAGTCTGGGGAAGGGTGAAAATACACAAAATGATAGCCTTGTTATAAAATGAAAAGCTGTCTGAACAGTTAAAAAAAAGTCTCAAGCTTTATATGATTCCTTTTATCCCTAAAAGATAGAAGGGGTTTGTATCCACAAATGACAAAATAGCTAAGCATACTGCAGACATAGGAAATGCATTTTGCAATGGAAGAGGAACTACTGTTAAGGGGTGTTCAGGCAGAACCTTGTTTCAGACACCTACCTGAGTCACAGCTTTTCAACCCTGACTAAGAGAATGCTGAGAAAGAAAAACACTTCCTTTTCAGAGTGCGGACACACCTAAAAAAGCTCATACAGTGCAAAGGCCTTGGCTGCATCTGGCACCTGCCTAAAACTGTGCCAGAAGAGGGTGGTCTGCAAGGGAGCTTTGGAGCTCAGCAGGGAAGCTTGCTGAAAACGCACAGCAGTTTAGACCTGCATGGCTGAAAGCTGTCAAGCCTTTCTCTCATTTAGATAGTCATCAAGTAAGTGACCGAAACAATTAGATATTTCTATTGTCTCCACTTTAATAGATCTTCGATGTCTTAATTATATGTTGTAGATAGCTACGTATCTGCAATAATACATGGTACATACATGTATCTACAACAATACACTCATATTTGCTGTTACAATTTGGAGCAAACTACCTTTTAATGCTAATCTTTTATATAAGAAAATACTTTGGTTAATAGATATTGTAATTCGTAACTGAACATAATTACATTAAGTAGACTTAAACAACAGTTAAACACAGCTGCAGCAACAAGGCACCTGTTAAACTGAATCTAAGTTAGATGATGTGTAAAGAAATGTATATAAAGGCTATAAAACATTTAGAACAGAATTTAATATAATACTTCATTTTCTTACCTTCAAACACCTTAAGAACTTCTTGTTTGATATAATTTTTTATTTCTTCAAGTGAAACTGCATCAGCCTTATAAGGAAAACAAACAGGTGATGTGTATAAGAAAAAAACATACAGAGAACAATTAGTGACGTCACAGAAACTGAAAAAATTATGAAATTTGCATTAAAAATATAAACCTTTCACCAAAAATTAGGTATTTTAATATATTTGTGTTACTTAACTGCAAATACATAATAATATTGCAAATTCCAAATAATATCATAAAGGTGACTAATACCATGAAGTGGAAGTGGCACTCCTGAATGGCAAGATGATCAGCATGCTATGTGCATGGAAATTAATTTGCTTAAGACAGTGAGGATGTCCATTGACACAGCCACGCTGTACTTGCCCTTGGCACAGGATTTGCCAGCCTCTCACCCTCTCTAGGGACTAACTGCTTGGGTGCGCAGTCGAATCACTAGAACTGCATCACAGGACCAATAACTTCACCGGAAAAGTTCTTTAGAGTTCTTTACCCGATCCAACTGAGGGTATAAAGAACATGTAACATGAATGTGTGCCTGTGCACACATGGAGATAAAGCAAGATATCTAAAACTGACAGCCAGAATTGTATTGTTTTTTTAAACACCGATTTCCCTTTTATTGAGAATCAGTTTTGTCTGCCTCCTTTCCTTTTTCCACAGTTGCAAAGGCTTACACTTTAGCTCTTAAGCTTATGAAAAACTTGCAAATTAACCATATTGAGTAGCTGTATGGATTGTTGGGAGTTGAAGAAAAAATAATTTATTCATAGCACATGTTTAAAAATAATTTAAAATAGCTTCTGGATCATGTGGGTATATTTTTTCCGCCTCTTACCTGAACACTGATATTATCTCAGACATAACTTATTTTTTCTGATACTGGTATTGCTCAGCTGAATTTCTACTGTTCAGCTCATGCTACCTTCATGTCACCTGAACTGAAAAGCAACCAAGGAAAACTTGTATTTACTTACCAGAAACCCTGGGGGTCCTGGTGAACCCGGGGGGCCTTGATGACCTGGTGATCCTGGATAGCCTCTGACTCCTGGTGGCCCAATAGGACCCACATCCCCCTTTTCTCCTGATGGGCCAGGTTTCCCTCGTTCACCTTGTGGACCTTTGTCCCCTGGAATACCCTGATCTCCCTGTATAAATTAAAAGCAGAACGAAAAACATTGCACACAGTGGAACAAAGTGGAAAAGTAGAAAAAGTCATCCAGGAATGTTAAAAGGAAAATTCTTCCCTGCTCAGAAAGAGGTTTTATGAGTCACGCAGGGAAGCTGATTTTACAGGATAATGCCTGTCTCTGAAAACAGCAAGTAATATTTGTTTTCTTAATGTTTCTTTTAATGTTGAAGTCAATGACTAAAAAATGCTGACTCCGTAACTCACTTTTCAAGTATGGAATTTGGGTGCTGAAAGCTTACAGCCCTTAAACATGTCAAATATGGCATAGGTAGAATCTAGGCACTTATATTCCCCCAGGTACAAGGCACCAGGCATTTTTCTGTAACTTTCCCCAGAAGCCTAATATTTAATTTCTACATGTACACAAAATTTCAGCAAATCAAAGAAACAACAAATACACAAATCCATTTATAAGTTCCCTGCAAACAAAATAACTTAAAGGTCAATGCTCTGGCCAGCTAGCACTTCCATCATGGCTGAGATGGCATTTAGATTTGTTTTATCTGTGAGGAATTAAATCTTTTAGAGTGACTTCCTATATTAGCTATTAGTACATGGAACCACAGCTGTGGAGCAGAGTGCCACATGTCACATGTTCAGATTGTTAATGAACAGCCGACAGTTCTTAAGGGTCACTGAGTGCCCTTGCTGCACCACTTAAGCTAATGTGAAGGAGCAAAAATCACCAAGAACTCGCTACATCATTACTGGATAAATCCAGAATCTACATTTATGAGGGGTGAATTAATGGAATTACTTGCATTCTTAATTTACAGCAAGTGCTGGTAAACTGCATTTAGACTTGAAACTTCATTGACTGATAAACCAATAAAAGTGTAGTTATACTCTTAAGTCACGTTTACATGACATGTGAAGACTGAAAAAAAAGAAGGAAAGGTAAGTATGCAAGTAGGGCATTGCACAGCATTTTAATCACCTATCTGTCCTCCAACCTGTACGCTTTCCAGTGAGTTAGAGTCTATTATTGTGACTGAGCCTCATTACAAAGACCGCTGTAACTTGTGATGTTTTATTGCATTAATTGAAGCCATCGTGCATTCCCAATTGGAGTTTAAATTGCCCTAGGTAAGAGTGCAGAGGCTCTGAATTCCTAAAATCTACCACAAGAAAAACTGTTGGAATCTGAGACCTCACCATCTCACACCTATGACCGTGGTGGGTTGACCTTCACTGCCTGCCAGGTACCCAGATAGCCACTCTCTCACTCCACCTCCTCAACAGGAGAGGGTGGGAAAATGAGACGAAAAGCTTGCAAGTCAAGATGAGGACAGGGAGCTCACTCACCAGTTACCATCAGAGGAAAATAGACTGAACTTAAGGGAAGATTAATTTAATTCATTGCAAATTAATAACAGAGCAGGATAGTGAAACCTTCCCCTCAACCCACTCCCTTTCTTCCCAGGCTCAATTTCACTCCTTGCTCTTGTACCTCCTTCCCATAAGCAGTGCAGGGGGATGGAGTCAATCCTTAACACTTGGTCCGTGCTGCTCCTTCCTGCTCACATTCTTCTCCTGCTCCATTATGTGGTCTTTCCCACAGGATACAGTTCTTCACGAACTGCTCCAGTGTGGGTCCTTCACATGGGCTGCAGTTCTTCAGGAATGAACTCTTCCAGTGTGAGCCCCACAGGGGACACAGCTCCTGCCTGAAAACCTGTTCCCGAGTGGGCTCCTCTCCATGGATTCACAGGTCCTGCCAGGAGCAAGTTCCACTGTGGGCTTTCCATGGGCTGCAGCTTCCTTCAGGGCACATCCACTAGCTTTAGAGAGGGGTCCTCCAGAGGTTGCAGATGGATATCTACTCCACTGCGGACCTCCATGGGCTGCAGGGAGACAGCCCAACTCACCGTGGTCTTCAGCACAGGCTGCAGGGGAATGTCTGCTCCAGTACCTGGAGGATCTCCTCCCCCTCCTTCTTCACTGACCTTGAGCCTGCAGTATTGTTTCTCTCACATATTCTCACTCCTCTCGCATAGCTGTTGCACAATCACACCAGGAGTACCAACGTCACTCATGGGATCAGCTTTGGCCAGGAGCAGGTCCACCTGAAATCGGCTCTGTCCTACATGGATGCATCTCCTGAGGCCACTCCTGCAGCTCCCCCTGTTTCCAAATCCTTGCCATGTAAACCCAATACAACCTGTCAAACTGCTACCGTGATCACATAGTCAGGCAAGTCAGTGTGACATGCAAACAATCTCAGTGTGATCACATATAGTGTGTTTCTCTTAAAAGATCTACCCTGTCAATACTGCAAATGCTGGATGTCCAGTTTTAGCTTCTGGGCATTAATACTTCAGGCACAATTCTAAATATGCAGTATTGAGTGATTTCCAACAAAGACACAGCTCATTTAGCAGTTCAGTAGAAAAATGACAAGATACGATGTGATACTGTAAAGACACTTGTAACCATTGTCTAAGACTCAAATTTTTAGCAGTCCATGGGAGCAGGAAAGGGACGATATGTGCACTAGGGGAAATTGGAAAAATAATGTTCTGGTGGAAGAGGTGTACCTTTTTACGCTTCTATATAGTATAAGATTTTTAGGAAAAAATGCTCTGTCCTGCTTACAGCTACCACATCAGTACAACAACATCTTGAGAAATTCAGGGCAGGGGAAGAATTCTGACTGAGAAGCAGGACTTCTGTAGTCTGCAGGGAAGAGGCTCTTTTCCGGCCTTAACAAAGTTTTGGCCTTCAACCTCCATCTCCTACTTCACTCATAGCAACATGAAACATTATAAAATTGAAGAACAACTCCTGTTTTACTATGTTACTGCAAAACTCTGAAGAGGTATAATAACTTTTCATTTAATCACATTTTTGGAGATTAAAGTCCAGTATAGCGAGCCACTGAACACACCATTTTTTTTGGATAATGCCTTTCAAATGAGACCACACACAGATGCACGCATCCACATATATATATATAAAGCTGTATGAAAATTACTATACTTACAGTATGTAGTTTGTCAGGTTTATAACCCTGCAGAATAGGTATGGGTAGCTATTCTACTATAAATAAAGAAAAACAAAGGTTTCTCCAAGGCCGTGGTGCTATGGCAGCATGAAGCTGATCACAGAATTGCTTTTCTTCTTCACGATTCTCATTTTACAGGCTGCCAGTGTGTAGCAGGCAGGCCAAACACTACAAAACCCAATTTTCAGACAAGTATTTTTTTAACTGCCTCCAGTGTTTTCTTTGTGTTTGGAAGAAACTCCTCACAAAAACTCATAGAACTAGGTCATATGTTCCTCCAGATTCCACTTAAAACTCTCCTTCACTATGAATTGTACAAATGCAAGGCAGGATATTTGCATTTTGCAACCTCTGCCCGTGGTGCTGATTTATTCAGTCCTCCTTTTCAGTATTCTCTGCCTTGCATTCAACCTTGAACTATATGCTGTGTAGAAGAAGCTACTGTTTTGCCTCAGTTGCTACATGCAAGTCCCAGGTGCTCCCAGTGTGTTGCCCAGGCATGCAGGTAATAGCAATAAATAAGTCAGCCACCAGCACTTTAATCCATTGTTGAAATGACTTGAAAGGTGTATTTCTGATTGGTATTAACCACATGTTTTCAACTGGTTTGCCACTTCAGTTAATGAAGTAGTAAGAAACCGCAGTGTTTAGTCACTCAAAGGATGTAAAAGATTATTTCGGCCCTGGTGACTACTTCTTTCTTAAACCAAATTCTACAAGGATGTATTTGTATTAGACACAAAAACCTCAACTCTGTCCTTCCAATTTTGATGCTTCTCTCTTCTGTAATTGCAACAGCTAATCTCAAACTGAAATAAGTGAGTATTCTGTACAGGAAAACCTTGACTTTGTGTTATTTTCTGTAATCATTGCAATCTGTCCCACAGATGCAGGTCTGTAATACCCGATCTAGCACAACAAAAAAATCAATGCCCAACTTGCCCATCTTATCTGAGATGCAGATTTCTGCCATGTACCTCACTATTATTTCTTAGGAGGATCTCCTTTTGTTTTCAAAAAACCCGTTTCTTTTCCTGCAGGATTGTGAGGAACAGCTGACAGCTTTCTGAAAACTGTATTTAGATACTGTACTGGGCATATTTATAACTTTCCTGTTATAAAAGGCTGTGAGAGATTTTTTACTATCACTTGAGACAAAAAATAATTCTGAAAATTTATTTTTAACATTTGTCTATATATTTATTTTATTTATATGTATGTATGCATGTATGCATATATATTTATATATTTTACTCCATACAGAGAGAGCTAGATCGTGACACGTTTGCCCATGATTCTAGAAGTGAGAGTAGATTTGGGCATCTGTGACCTCTCTGAGAGCAAGCAATATCCATACTTACATCTATAGCTCCATATACATGTGTGTATGTACGTATGATGTCACCAACAGGACTGGAATAAATACACCCTCTTCTCTTAATGCAGTAAGAATAGGCGGTACAATAAGGAAGTTCGTACATTTTATTGGAGTTCTGTCCTTAAAGGCAGAAGCAGAACATTGCAAACTGTTGATTTTTGTAAGGGGCAGTTATTACAATAAAGGTTAAAATCTCGTGTCTCCTCAGTGTCATAAAACAGCATTTCATTTTCCAGATTACGCAGGGAGGTGCTTTTCTGATATATCAAATAAATATGGTATCAATTGGTTAGGACTTTAGGGCTTTATAACAGGAGTAAAATATGCACTAGGATTTTCTTTGCTCTAGCAAAATAAAGATCATCCCTCATTTCCTGCAGTGATTCCTGTCCACCATGATCTTGTTACCAGATCAGATCTGCCTAAACATTTTGGGAAGCAGTAAGGTATTTCATTGTCATTCCTGTTGTCTAAGTGTAACAAGCTTGTTTTATACAAAACATGATTCGTGTTTCTGACATAGGAAAATCTCAGGGCTGATGATGGGGCAAGCTTTATAGCTCTTGTAAAGTCTGAGAGCATCAGAACAGGATTAGCTACTTTCCAATTTTCAACCTATTGATCAGTTTACACTGTCCAGGTCAACTATATTAGAAAGTCTATAAAATGTGTTCTTCCTCTACATGTAGAAGCCAATTCAATGCCAGTTCCTTAAAGTGGTGCCTAGGACTAAACCTCTTAGTTGTCTAAGAGACTGAAGCTCACAGAAAATTCATTCGTTGGTTTTGCCTGTAAAAGATGTGCTGATTAGGTGCCTAGATGCTCAGTAAAAAGAAAAAATCTTATTAAAACAAGAGACTTACACGTTCTCCTTTGGGTCCTCTGTCTCCTGGTCTTCCCACAGCACCCTGAAAATTTGTTTTTGAGAAAAAATAAACATATCACTTAAAGGGTATTTCGTGTATTTATCCGTTAGCAGAACTGAAAGCAACTGCCAAGGATTAAGAGCTGTTTTATCTGTGAAGAATAAAATACAACAAAATGCAAAAGCATGTTTTCCTACCGGAGGACCTGGCAGTCCATCTTTTCCACTGATTCCCTATTAAAAACAAAACAAAACAATTTAAAAATAAATATGCTTATATATATATATGCATTTTTAAAATATAAAGGGTAAAGCTCAATGTCTGGTGCTGGTATCAGTACATATTCTAAAGCTGCAAAGGCTGTTCCTGTGGTTATAGTACAGAAATACTCAGAAATAGTCTTGAGGTGAAATAACAGCTCAGGACATGGCTGAACTGCAAGCACACTACATTCAAGCTGAGAGTATAGCAGAAAAAAATAATCTTTGGCACCAAGATGTGCATCAACCTTAACGATCACACAACTTGAAATAACAAGCTACATGGGAATTATGCAAATGCAGAATATAGACCTCTACATGCACTTTTCTGGTCCCAGCTAGTAATTATACAACCACAGACGAGATTTTTTTGTATTCTAGCCCTGATGCGCTATTACCCTTCTGCTACTATGGAGATTTATGTCTTAATAGCAACTGGCTAGATCCATTCTGTGGTCCTTAGGACTTGTGGCACAGCACATCTGCAGCCTCCTGGCCTCAACATATTTCCTTCCCAAAAGAGGGTGGTCTTATTCATAATACCTCCTGGAAACAGTCTTAGGCCCACGTTATTCCCCTAACTGGAATGTGACATTATCTGAGAGTCCTAATTGTCATGGGCCAAAATAATGTGAGAGAGTACGTTAACAATTGTGCAGTGCCAGATAATTGCAAGATAAATGCTCTGGCACTGTTTCATTGGTTCGATTCCTGCTCGGTCCCCATGTGTTGCCAGGTCTAGTCGAGAGGTGGTGTCCCTGCCCAAAACAGGGAGGTTGGACTAGATGATCTCTAAGGTCCCTTCCAGCCTACGCCATTCTATGATTCTATGATTTACTAGGACATACACGGATCTGCATATGCAGCAAACTCACTGCTATTTCACTGAGACAGAGGGACTTGCATGAGCAAAGATATCAGGAATATTTCCTTTCCCCTCATTCTGCAAAATGGGAGTTTTGCACAGATTAGGCACCTTGGGCCAATTTGCTGTTGAAGTTACAGAAATTGTCTCTTTTTTTCAAGATAGAAGCATAATGTAGAGATGTGCTGACAAACTGAAAGTCTGCTTCTCATGCTTGTCCTCAAAACACCAAGCTTTGTGGGAGATAACGAGTTCTGTGCTATCCTAGCTAAACCACGTCTAGAATATAAATTAGGTTGTTTTAAAGCAGCTCAGACAGTGCTGACTGCACTGATGTCACACTTTTATTAAATAAATGGGTCAGATTAGACATATCCTAAGTGAACAGTAAATGCTTCAGCTGCAGTGTTGTATCACCAGTATACAGAAGAGTTATGAAGTTTATTCAGTCATGAAGCACACGCTTCTCTATCTAAACTAAAACTGAGGATGTATCTTGTCACCCCATCCTTTATAGACTGTGTTGAGTGTCGGAGTTAATATCCTCCTCCTGAAAAAATATGAGACGATCCTTTATGTCAACAAAACCTAAAGGACCCTCATGATACCTTTAAAGGCAACATCTCAGTAACATTAACTATCAAAACACCGCAATAGCAGGAATTCTTGACTGAATGGCTAATATTGAGCATTACAGCTCTAAGTGTTCTTCAGATGTTACTTAGCGTAATGCAAAGCAGGATGTAATCCCATATAAAGTATAAAATTTCTTACTGGTTTTCCTTGTGGCCCTTCTGGTCCAGGGAAGCCTGTATCTCCTATAGGTCCTCTTTCTCCCTAAAAAAGAAGAAAACACATATAAAAATCTGCATGTAAAATCTTACATTCACTGTTTGAAATATTTGTGTGTTACCGTAAGAGCCCAGAACTCAAATCTGTACTTACAGGTTCTCCTGGCAACCCTGGAGACCCAGGAGATCCCAAAAAAAAAGAAAGAGAAAATTAAAAATTCAAATCACTAGGCAGCAAACCATAATTTCTCCTAGGTGAAAAGTATGAAATAATATATACTTAAGGAAAACTTTCATGTTATTGCTTTAAGAGAGGAATAAGAGATATTTTACAAGAATTTTTTAATATTTGTGCCATGTTAATCAGGCTTTTGTGTGTAACATCATCAATTGCAGTCTTTACGCTTTCTGAATACTGAGATAATGTTTTTCATAAACTTATTTTACAGCACCATGATTTCCCTTTTGAGGAGTCACAGATCAAAGTTTATCACTATACATGTGACATCAAGCTGTTTTTCCTTCAGATACTTCCTAGTCCTAGTCAATTGCTGACTGAACACATTTTGCAAATTTTCTTCATGCTCTTTTTCAGTCACTTTTACTGTCATTTTATGTCCAGCCTGCCAAAATTCTCAATCTTTTCTCATCATTGGTGATTTTAAATGTCTTTATTTCTTAAAATGATGCCTTGTTTTTAGAAAAAGAATCTCTGACCCTGAATCTGGATTTTCCAGAAACACCCTTAGACCAGATCTTCAGATGACTTGGTACAAGTGAGGGGATCTAATATATCAATGTAGGCAACAACTTCAGGAACAACAGGATTTGTGCTGAGGAATTAGCTATTGGTGGCAATTCTTGCAGAATCTCAGTCGAAGCTTCCCTGACAATCCCTCTTAGCAAAAAGCCAAAGCTAAAATGAGAGTTTTATATTCCTAAATAGGAAAACGGTTCAGTATCCAACTTAGGGAATAACACCAGGCAAGGAGGATAAATTCTCTTCTAGTAAGATATGTGGACGTTTTCCAAAAACTCTTCCTAGACTACTGAAAAATAGTATCTCTCATATGTCTATTTAATTTGTTAATTAAAACTGCTTAGCATAAAATGTTAAAGCAAATAATTTGTTTCAATGGATTTTACTAGAGTTAAAAGCAATCAACAGAATGCAACTCCATCAGTGACGAAGAGAACTCATTAAATATTTCATATCCAGCTAGAATAAAGAGCATCAAGAATAAGTCTTGGAACATATCCAGTGGGAAATACACAGGGAATGAGCAGTTGTGATCATCCTAACTGGCTACTGAATTACTGATTTACACAGTGAAATCTATTTCAGAGCAACAAACTTTGAAACTCAAAAGAAACACTTCTATATTCCCCCTAAATGTGCATTTTTACCTTGTTTTAGGAGAACTTAACTATATTCAGCAATTTAAGCTGATGTCCTCTTTTGGAACTCACAGTAAATAGACTAAACCAGTGGCTAATGGAGATGGGAGTGCACAGACACAAACTTCTCCTTATTTCAAGAAACACATATTTATAATTTGAAAATAGCCCTTCAATGAATTGATAGCTGTCCAAATTTAATAATAAATGTATTTGCATATAAATAACATCATACTGTCTCCCGAAATATGGATTTTTTTTTTTATTAAACTCTGAATGCATTCTAAAGAGAAGTTGTCTTCATTTACCTTAGGAACATGAATTATTAATTATAATTTCAATTTATCATTAGTTACATTTACTTTCAACTACAACAAAGTTTCTGGATGACTTTCAGAAACTTCTCTGAATACCACATGTAAACAGCTGATAAAGAATTTCCCTAAAGTTAATATCTGATTGACTTGACATGCAGATCCTTGTGGATCACAGAAACTAATATTCATAATTTTTCATTGTGATAGAAAAATACTCAGAAATTTGTGCGTGCCCAGGAACACAGAAAATGTCTTTTTCTATATTAAACTGAGGCAATGAGAAGAAACTCACACGCTTTCTTAACTAAGTATATGCAGCTTCAAATTCCACACCATTCCCTTGTGTCATTCTAATAATAATAATAATAATATGAAATGTCACTGGCATTGAAACTCTCATCTCTTAAGGAAAAGCACATGATTCTCCCACTTGCCTATAAAGTATTAGCCAAGTGCTGGTGTTACACAACCAGTGATTTAGATTACAGCTCAGCACTTTGCTTGACTTGTTTTATTGGCTTCTGATAAACTGAGTTTTCTTTAATGAACATACGTACCGGTATCCCTGCTACTCCCGGCGTGCCAGCTGGTCCACGGTCACCCTGAAGAAAAGGTAAATCTATACTTAAATGGTAACACTTAAAACAGATGTTTGTTTGTGGATTCCCACTAAAACCTGAGGAAGGATTATTCAGTGAACTGGAAATGAGGACAAGAGCCAGGTTGTCCTAAATGCTAATATTTAGCTCTGCCACTGACTCATTTTACAGACTTGAGCAAGAAATAGAAATCCTTTGTTTAGGTTCTCTTGTATAATGTCATTATTTCCATGCTATCCCTTATACTCTGCTTGAGGACTTTATTAAAGGGACTGAAAGTCTCCGACTTATCTATAGTTTTCCAAAAGACAATGATGAAAATTCACATAGCCTAATTCTTTTTCTTAACAACATCCCCATATTTAAGATGCATCTGCCAAAGAAATTTTTTCTGCCATTGTCCTTTCAGGGCAAAATTTCTCCTTTTAGCATACAACCACCTTTATCTATGCTTTAAGCTAAGACAACAGCCTTTGTGACGGAGCTGATGAATTACAGGTACAATCTCATCTTTTTCTCTTGAGTGAACTATAACCCAAAGCAGATGGATGGAGCTCACCAGTGGTCAAAGCCTGCACAGTGAGATTTACCCTAACCCACTGCTGACATGTACTGGTCTGTAACACCACACTCTGCTAGCGTAACGTTGGTTGAAAACGTAAGAAAAAAACCCCGGGCTCTTAGTTTCTACAATCATGTCAGGAAAGCCCTGGCACAGTTAAAGCCGTACTAACAGGAAAGTATTTTTGTGGAATGAGTGTATGTTACCTGGAGCTGTTTTGCACAAGCTCTGACAGCCACGTTCTGTGGTGCAGAAGTGCCTCAGGAGATGCTGGGATTTCTGGTTTCTGTTCTCATATCTAATCCTGATTTATCTCAACGATAATGTTGGTCGTTAGAAATGCTTAACTCCATTATACAAAGCGCAGACAGGTGACAGCTTAGATGCTTGACTTTTTGTCTGGAGGCAGAAGCTTGCTTAAAGGCTACAGTTCAAGCTCTTTTGCTCTGGAGGCTGAGAGGTGACTTCATGCAAGTCCACCCCTCGGTGAGGAACACAACGTGCTCCTCAGGAACACACCTGAGCATGAGTACCTGTACCAGGGCATATTGGTTGCAGCACTGCACTCTGCCCCTGTTGGTTATTCTGGACGCAGGAAAGCTAGAAACTCCTAATGTTTCTCTTTCAACTTTTTTTGTTATTTTTTTAAGGGTTGTTCTGGTCCTTTCATCAATGTGATACACAAACTGCTGTGTCAGCGCAGCTGAGGGAAGGGACATTGTACCTCGAGGACACAAAGTTCTCAAGCAAGTTGAAGAAACTATTGCCAGCATCATCTGTGGGAGATGGCATCCTGCTGCACAGATGTAATAGCTCTCAAGTGAAAACAGGTGTGTATGCTGTTGGGACTGGCAGGCAGACTCTGAGACTCTGTTCCATTTTTTTTGTACCAAAAATGTGAAATTTTCACCAAATTTAGGTATGGAAAATATATTTTTACTCTGGGAAAGGGCCACTTAGTGTGTCTCACTTAATGTGTTTATATGATCTGCTCTATGCTTACTCCCTTTATTTACTTCTTGTCTCCACTTTGTCTCAGTTAGACACGTAATATCTCCCTGGGTTTGTTCATTCTGAAATCAGACTAGTCTTTAATTGCTTGTAAATTGTAGTCTTCCAGAGCAAGAATCATCCAATGTAATTGAAACATCTGGTGTAGGTATCTACCTCGGATCTTGCCACTCTGCACACATGGGAGTAACACACAGTGATAGCGAGAGAAAGTTTTCATTTCTGCTGTGTTTTATGAAAAATAAGACTCAGTAACCTATTTTTGTATGAAGTCATTGAATAATATGTAATTCAAAAAGCTGAATACTCAATTTTCAAAATAAAATTACCTTTTGTCTTCTTAAATTTAGAAAATAAGGACAAAATAAAACTTTCCACTGATAAAAAACTTATGTCCAGTTTTTATTTAATTTCTCACATACTTTTTGTACTTTGCATATTTAGAAATGAATACCAAAATCTTAACATTTTTAGCATTTCATGTCAAGTTTTTCTTTGAATTCATATCAGCCTCAACAATTAGAAAGCGAAAGGCAGAAACACATCACCAGATGAAGGAAAGAATCATTTATTCGCACTGAAATTCAGATCTGAACTACAGGAAGGAGTTGGAGAGTATGACAGGGTTCAGGATGTGCTACAGTGGCATCATCATGCAGCAGAGAGTGCACAAAAAGCAAAACAGAAACAAGTGGCGGTTTTTAGAATGAGCAACGGTCCGAGAAAAGAGTTTTTTGCTCACTTTCGAGCAGGATGCAATACAACAGGAACTGTAGGGAATCAATCTCTCCCTCTGTTTCTACTCTTTTTGATACTTTTACACTCAACTGAAATAGTCTTTGATGTTTGTGTATGGAAGTCTTGCATGCGCTAGGCCAAGACTAAGTCAGGCACAAACTTCTCTACAAATGTGTAGCTATGCAATTAACCTTAGAACAAGACAGACTGGAAGCATAAGACGATGTTCAATAAAGAACAAGAACTCATGACAATACACAAGAATATGTTAACTATATTACTATCAAGTAATATAGTTATATACAGTATATATGATATATAATGTAGTATATAGTCGTATTCTATCAAGTTAAGAAAAGGAAGTATTACAAGACTTCCTACATGCAATTTTCCATTTGCAGAAAATGAAATTTAAAGTTGGGTGAATATATGATTTAGATCCACACTAAAGCAAAAAAGAAGAAATACAGATAAATATGTAAATATTTTTCATACAGAAACATTAAATTACACATAAAAAAAATTCAGACAAGGTTTCATAAAACTCAGAAAGCTCCATATGGTTGCCACTAATCAGCCATGACTTCTTTTTAAGAGTCCTACCTTTTCCCCTGGTAGTCCTTCCAGTCCTGGTAATCCCATTGGTCCTGGGTCTCCCTGATTTTATTTTTTTAATAAAAAAGGATTGCATACATTAGAATTTCTGTACTCCACATGAGAAATGTTGAACAGCAAGCAACAGAAGACTATTTAACTTGAGATCAGTAAACCAGCTAACCAATTATTAGGTGAACAGATTCTGTTATGCCCCAGTTTAGTGTTTTTTTGAATTAAGCTTTTCTCAGAGGCACTGTGTGAATATTTGGATTCTGATACTGAAGAAAAAGACTCCATGATATGGACCCAAGTCTGAAGACAAGAGCCCTTCAACAAGACAAGACACTCATCATCATTTTCCAAATACTGTGGCCTGATGTGTTCAGACAAGGCCAGTCTCTCGTGACATTTAAACAGTCTATATGTTGTCCTCTGAACTGATTCTTTACTATCAAGCATCCAAGATGTTGGCTGAGCCATCTCCTTATTTATCTTGCCTAAGACTAACAATTAGAAGACAGGACAGCATCTGGAGAGGTCAAGTGTCAACTTCTAGGTGGTTCAGAGATGAATGCACAAGAAGTTAATACTGTGTTCAGTCATCCATTATATTATCACTGAGAAAAATTATTTACCAGAAAAACAATAAAATTTTCATGTCTGTCAATTGAAAAGACTTTTTCAGATGTACTGATTCTGCAGGATGTAAGCAACCTGCTAAAGAACACTAATAGACTCTT